TTTCCATTCAGGTATTTGATAGGCCTGTTTGAATGTCTTAGGTTCTGAAGAATTTGAGATAGAAGCTACAAAAGCTTTATGTGAGGTAGATAGTCTATTAGCTGAAATAAAATGCTGAATAGGGTATATAATACCTGCAGCTAAAGATCCATCAGTTGAAGAAGATGCTTGAGTTAGCCCTTGAGCTAAAGAGTCATTACCACAATAGTAATCTTGCAAAAGATTTGGAGGATGTTTAACCCTGCTAGACTTTCTGAGTTGCTGATCATTCTGATTTGGAATTTGAGTGTGGGCAGAAGGGATTTGTTTAATAAGTGTGATTGGCTCAGAAAGGGGAGATTGGTTATTGGAGGAAAATTGAGTATTTTGATCTAAAGGCAAATATGAGTTTTTATGGCAGGCTTCTGGTAAAAATTTTGAATCAGAAAACAAGTATGAATGTGAATCTTGGTTTGATGGAATAGCTTTAAAATGAAAGATTGTTTCATGGAATGTGACATTTCTAGAAACAATTAACTTGTTGCTTTTCAACTCCATGAGTTTGTATCCTTTGTAATCAGATGGATATCCTATGAATATACATTTTATTTTTGTTTGTGGTCCTTCAATGTGGATGCAAAACAAAGGCAACCAAAAACCTTTAGATGAGAAAGATTGGGTGGTTTGTTAAACATCATTTCAAAGGGGGTTTTATTGTGGAGAAGGGGTGTAGGAATTCTATTGATAATGTGAGCTGCAGTAAGGATACAATCACTCTAAAAATTTAGAGGCAAGTTGGCTTGAAACATTAGAGCTCTAGCTGTTCCTAATAAATGTTGGTGTTTCCTTTCCACAACACCATTTTGTTGTGGAGTTTTTACACAACTTCGTTGATGCAAAATGCCATATTTGTTGTAAAATATGGTAAGGAAAAATTCTGAGCCATTATTAGACCTCAAGATTTTCACATTGACAAAATGTTGGTTTTTCACCATTTTGCAAAAAGTTTTGATTAGAGATGGAACCTCTGATTTTGCCTTCATCATGTATACCCATGTGCATCTTGTAAAATCATCTACTATTGTTAAAAAATATTTAAAACCGGAATATGAGATAGTGCCAAAAGGACCCCAGATATCACAATGGATCAAGTCAAATTTTTCATTGGATTTACTCTGTGATACAGAAAAGGAGAGTTTCTTTTGTTTTGCTAGATGACATATGCCACAGACATGTTTACAATCAAGGGTAATTGAAGGATCTATTTGTTTGAGAGATAACAATTTTGAACTAGATACATGTCCAAGTCTGCAATGCCATATATCTGACTGATTGTGAGTAATAGCTGAAGCAAAAGATGTAGAATTATATTGAGTCTTGCATGTTTGAGTTTTTGATGAATCTTGCATCAAGTGGTAAAGCCCTTCCTTTTCAAAGGCAATCCTAATCATCTTCTTCATTGATGAGTCCTACAGAGTACAGTAAGAACCAGTGAAAGTAAGGCAAAGATCAGATTGCTTGGTAAGCTTAGATATAGATAACAGGTTAAATGTAAAAGAGGGAATGCATAGAACATTATGAAGAAACAAAGTATTAAAAAGGCACACGGTTCCAATTTGTGAAGCAAGAACTTTAATACCATTGGGAAGGTTTATGAATGTGTTGACAGATTTTGGTGTAGAATAATATAGGAGTGGTGAACAGATCATGTGATCTGTTGCACCCGTGTCTAGAATCCAAGATAAATTTGGATGTAATATGGATGAAACAGAGTTCCAGTAACCCGATTGTGATATAGGATGTGTTTTACCAGAAAATTAAGATGTAGAGGCAATGTTAGCTAATGGCTGAACTTTATTCTGGGTAGAAGAATCAGATGAAGTTGGATTAGCAAGTGCCATTAATTTTTGAAATTCCTTTGGAGTGAAAATAAACTTTGGTTGCTCATCACTTGCCTGATTCTGGACTTCCGGTTTTGTAAGAGCAGCATGTGCAAATATACTCCTTTTTCCTTTTGGTCCAATCCAGCCAGGTGGATATCCATGAAGTTGGAAACATTTGTCCACTCTATGCCCATTATAGCCACAATATGTGAAGTGTAGGACAATTTCAACTTCTCTTTAAAAGATTTTGGCCGGTAACTCTGCTGATTATAATGCTTTGCCATCAAAGCATGTGTCTCATTATATGTCCCAGAATTTGTGAGCTGCCTCTGGCTTTCTTCTTGAAGTAGTAAGGAAAACACTTTACTCATCCCCGGCAAAGGAACCATAAGCAGTAATTGGCTTCGAGTAGATGCAAAAGAATCATTTAAACCAATCAAGAACTTGAGGACATAGTCAGACTGTTGTCTTCTTTCCAGAAACTTGAGCAATTCACAAGTACATGAGGTCATTTTTCCACATGTACATGTTGGAAATGGTCTATAGCTGATATATTCATCCCAAAGAGTTTTAAAAGAGCTAAAATATTCAGTGACGGATAGAGAACCTTGATTTATACAGCTCAGGGATTTTTTTAGGTGAAAAACCCTTGGTCCATCACTCCTAAGGTATCTTGTTTTGAGCTCATTCCAGAGATCCATGGTAGAAGTAACAAATAGCAGGCTGTTTCGTATTTCCTTAGAAATAGAATTTATCAACCAAGAAAGAACTAGATTGTTCGCTCGTAGCCAAGCTGTATATTCAATGATTTGATCAGCAGGAGGAGAGGTGATAGAGCCATCAATGAATTTAATCTTGTTCTTGACTGTCAGGGCTATGGTAATCGATCGACTCCAAGCTACATAGTTTCCTCCACTAAAAATTTCTGATACTAATAAAGTGCCAGGATTGTCACTTGGATGAAGGTAATAAGGGCTTGAAGAATCATCTGAGGGATTGATAACTGGATTCCCAGAATTCATTTCAGAAATGATAGAGAGTTAAGATTCCAAAAAAAAATCTAGTAGAAAATCAAGAATTCGATGATCGTAATTTCAAGATCAGAGAAAAGGCGCGGAAGCAAGTATTGTATGCTCTGATACCATGTCAAAGATTAGATCGATACATGAAGATTCAAGCAGAAAAGACAGAAGAAAAATTAATCTTGAAGATAGAACTTATCATTTATGGAAAGATAAGAAAACTGAATGAATTACATCAAGGTTTGGACTACCTTTTTATAATATGTCATAACAGAAAATTAAACTGCATTAACTAACTCCTAACTAATCTGTAATAACAACATTGAACTGGATTAACTAGAAAAACTGAAGCTAACCAACTCCTAACTTCTTCTAGCTAACTCTTCTTTTCTTTTAAACTCCATGTCGTCAATGTGTGAAGCAATACTCCAACAACTAGCAATTAAGATTTTGTAAAAAAATATTTATGTCCCTTGAGCAACTCTTAGAACTCTTCTCTTTGTAATGAATACGTATTTACTACCCAAGAGCCTCTTATGTCCCTCTTCTTTGTAATGAATATTAACTTTCTATCCAAGATGCTCTCTTCTTTTGAATCGGAGATGCATATTGTATATATATATATAGACCCAAGAGTTAGGTCAAATCTCATGCCTTAATTACTTTTTATGAAGAGGTTGAATCAAAATCAAACCAGTCATATATAACCATGCATACGATCACACATTATTGATTGCAAGGGTTTACACCTAGCGATTGTAAAGCACGAGTTTGACACTTATTCACTTTGGCCGCTTGATTTCTCTTTTGGTTTACTTCGAGTCCTTCATTATTTGCACCAAATGTTCTTCATCTTTGATCCTAATCATTCTCAATTAATCCGTAATTCAATTTTTGAAAGTTCGCAATTTAGTTCTCACAATTTTCAGATGTTGGATTTAGTTCTCGACACTTGTGAACTTATTTTGATTGCTCTCTTAATTCTTTAAATTGATCACGTGCAATTCAAAAAATCTTTAATTGCTTCAAATCAACTTTAATTAAGATTTAGAACACTTTTTTCACGTCAATTGTATTCAAGTTGAGAATTTTCCTACAATTTACATAATTTATACTAAATTAGGTAGATCCTCTCAATTAAGCAATAAATCATTAAGTTTAGAAGCTCAGTAGTGCATAAAATACGCTAATCAAATTGTATTAGTGAAAAATGAGGTTCAAAATATAATCTTGACAATGATAGTGTATTTCACTGCCAACTCAAACTTGGAAAGGATGTAACTTGAAATTTGTTAGTGTAGTGTATTTCATTGCCAATTCAATTGTAGTACAGTACTATACTTGTTCACTAGAAGTGGAGTGTGTGCGTGTATAATGTGCAGAGGTGAAAGAGGCAGTGGGATCCGACCAAAGTTTGTTAAGCCTCAGCCTCTGCTACTGAACCTGAGCTGCCACTACAACAAAAATGGTCATTTGTAATTACTGTTAAAAAAAAACTATGGCAATGTTTAAAAAACGTTGGTGTAGGGGGTCTACGGCAACGTTTAAAAAAACGTTGCCGTAGACACTCTACGGCAACGTTTAAAAAACGTTGCCGTAGGGGTCCTACTCTACGGCAACACCTTGATTTGCAACACACGTCCAAACGTTGTAAAAGGTATACGGCAACGTTTTTTGAACGTTGCCGTAGGCTATTTTTGTTGTAGTGTGCTCAGAACCACTAACAACTAACATCCCTTTCTACACTTCTACTGCCACACTTCCAAAAGATAATTGAGTATTCCTTCACGTCTTAATTTTTATGAATAATCTTCTATACATAACCATATATATATACAGAGAGAGAGAGAGAGAGAGAGAGAGAGAGAGAGAGAGAGAGAGAGAGAGAGAGAGAGATCAACTGGTAATATAGATGAAGCAGCAATTAATTTGTAGTTGTTGAAAACGACATGAAAAAAATATCAAAGTGATCTCCACTTCCACATGAACAGAGTGTCAAATTAAACTAAATCCCGCATCATTAAACAATCTTCCTTTCTAGATGCTGAAACTCCATATGATTCATGTTTAATACTAAAAACCCATGTAACTGAAACTGACTAAGCCCTATGTTAAATTACAAACGGAGTATTAGATCGAGGTTTACGTGGTCAGTCGAATCGTTGTTAGGAGAAAATGGTCCTGGGGTTAATGTTCCAACACCAAAAACACCTAGAGGAGCTGAGGTGGACCCGCCACTGGAGGCATAGTGGATAGGAGAACGTGGATGGAGCCAATAAGAGAAATGTGGTGGGAGGAGGAGACCGCCGGCGGTGAATGTTCTTCTGTTGGCCGCTCTTTCTCTCTTGTGGGCATTTTGGTGACCTCCCAACGCTTGAGAAGTGCAGAACTTACGAGTGCAGTAGAGGCATGAGAACATTCTGGAATTGGAGGATGATTTTGGTTTGTGGCTGGTTTTTGATGTTTCTGTAGATAGCTTCCAGAAGTCGTTTGTGTTAGGATCCGCCATTGTTATGTTTTTGAAAGCTCAAAAATGAGAGAAGACTAACTATACTATACAGTAGTGAGAAAGTATGTATGCATATAATGGTTTGTTTGTGTACAGAATGATTGTTGTATTTTGTCTCTATCTCCTACTGTACGGAAATTGCAGAGTTTGTTCGTTTTATTTTTATTTTTTCCTTTCTGATTTTCAAAACGAAATTAGATTGAATAATAGTGGTGGCCAAATTGAAAATTAATAAATGAATGCATGTTCTGTTACTTAAAAAAAATATGTTGCATGTTCAAATTTCACAATTTCGTCACATTTCATCACCAACAGTTTAGGTCAGTGAACTTCATTTTAGTTTCAAATTTCACCAATTTGTTACATTCATCCGCCCATCTTCCTCCACACGTCGTAGTGGTACATTGGGGTGGGCGAAAATCGAACCAACCCACTCAATTGATAGAACAAAACTGAACTGACCATTTTGGATTGAATTTTGCTTCAATTTTGTCTAGGTTTGATTTTTGGGCTACACAAATAGGTCGGGACGGGTTACCCAAATCGCCCACGTCTGTCCTTGGTCTCCCTTAGCCAGTCATAGGTCAATCTCCTCCTTCAATTTTTGCTTGAATCACATCAACGTGTTCAATTTTTGAATTTTTTTTCAATAACTTTGTTCTTTCTTTCATTTTCTTTTCTTATTTCATGTGTTCCATTGTTGATTAACGTGTTCAGTATTTTACATTTCATACTTTCTCCATTGATCAAATTCAATTTTTTTTATTCATTTGTTGAAATGAAATGTGTTGTTCAACGTTTGTTAACTTACTTATGTTTGTGTTGGTCAGATTTATTTGTTGAAATATGTCAATATTTTTTCTTCATTTCTTGATTAAATGTTAACTAATTTTACATTCTTCTTAATGCTTCACTTCTGCATCCAGTTTGATGCTTCACATTTCCAACAGTTTGCCCTAGCCAATCCAATCCGGCTGAAACTTGGTTGGCTTGGGTTCAAACACATAAATGGGTTGGATTTGTTTGATTTTAGATCAAATTTGGGTTGAGTGTGGGTTTAAACATGTAAATGGGTTGGGTTTGTTTTATTTTGTAATTTAAGTGAAGTGAAATTGGTAAGTTTTTGAGTAGGGGCGATTGACAAAATGATGGAGACCTGGTGTGTTATGAGAATTTGTTACACAGAGGAAAGCTCTCCTTGTCTAATCAAGCACACGCTCCAATCAATACTAAAATTAAATATTATGGATAAGGTGACAACTATTCTTTTTTTCTTCATTCTTCTTTCGGTGCTTTGAGATTTATGATAATGTCCCTCTACAATTAGCCCCTCTTTGATGGTCATTAAACAATATTTTGACTAATGATTTTTAGGAGAATATGTGGTTAAAAAGTTATCTTTACGTGCAAATATTTTGTTGTAGGAATGTGTGATTGAAATGAGTACATAAAATAAAGAGCTTTCAGATAATGATTATCAAACATGAGATAAAATTTTAGTAGGTTTTTAATTAAAGTGGTTAAAATTATTTGTTTACTTTGACTTGAAATTTTAATTTGATTAATCTACGCCAAATTGGCTTTCGGTTTCGGCTACTTCAATTTGGCTAATCCACTCATATTGGTGCTTGCATTTTTTATGCAGGGGTTGAGAACAGAGGTATAACCCTTGTTTTTTTTTTTTTAATTATTAAATTCAGTAGATTTTGATAAAAAAATAAAATGATAGAATGTATGGTCAAATTTTCGACATTAAAATATATGAAAAGTTTTTTTCCTCCCCGGAACCCTGTTCCTTCTCTCTATTGTATACTACACACAATGATTGTCCTTTAAATTTAATTTTATGATTGTCCATCTCGATTCTTTAATTTTTTCGAGTTATAATTTTTTACTTCTTTCTGCTATTTCCGATTAGTTACGTCTATGGTTTTTACCAATGTTCTAAAAGGCGTAATGCGTTGTGAGGCGTCGAGGTCAAGAATCAAGAATTACAAGTTTAGGCATGTCAACGCGAAGAATAAGCGCCATAATGCGTTTTTTAATATTATTTTAATTATTTTTAAGATATTAAATAGATTTTTATATAAAAAAATAGATTTTTTACTATATCATAAAAAAAAAAAACGGTTTGATTTTACATTTTTCATTTTAATTGAAGGACCGTTTTCATTTTAATTAAAAGTTACTGACCAAAATAGTTGAAACTTGAAGCTTGGAGACTTACATCACAAATTTGACAATCCCAAATTTGATCAACACCCTCATCTTCTCCACTCCAAGACTTGCATCTCCCCTCTACTCCAATGGCCAGTCCCGTGTCTTCACTCCTCACCACCCTCATCTTCTACCGAAACCCCCCCACAGCCAACCTCTGTTCCTATCACTAGCCTCACCAACATTCATCATCTAATCACCATCAAATTAGCCCAGAAGAATTTCGGATTTCCTCCTTTGGCGTGCTCAGGTCAATCTTCCTCCACCTTCCACCATACCCAACCCCACACCCACTACAAATGCAGCTGCCACCATTCCAAACCCGCATTTCTCGTATGGAATCAACAAGACGAGATCATTTTCAGTACCCTCATTTCTTCAAAAATAGATGTTGGCCAACAATTAACACTGACATTTAACAATAAGGGTACTTTCATTTCCCCCGCCCTTTAACATCAAATAATTTTAATTGACACCACAACCATTAACAATATTCTATCCCCAAATCTCTAATTCCTCTGTTTCTCTTGTAGAGAGAAGAGAGAAGCAATGGACTCCAACCACCGCCCTCATTTTTGGCTCGTAATTGGCTTTGTTTCCACTGAAGAAGCCTCTTTCAATGGTTGCTTGCACAGTAACACAACCAAAGTTGATCCCACATCGGAATCCTATAGATGGAGGCCAAGAAATTTTGCCTATAAATAAATTGGCCAACACCACCTTCATTTCCAAATACTTCCTGGGCCTGTCGTCTGGTGGGTTGGAAAGATTATAATTTATATTTTTATTATATATAATAATATATTAGTAAATGGTATAATTAAAAAAAATTTAAAAAAATTTAAAAAAATGCGCGCCTTCGCGTGCATTATCATGCCTTTGTGCACGTTTTAGTGGTCAATGCTTGCGTTGACCGCATTGTTACACGTACACCCTGAAAATGCGAGGCGTTTTGGCCACGCTTCGCGCGTAGGCTTGCCTAGGCAGTGCATTTCGCCGCCTTTTAGAACACTGGTTTTTACTGTCTTTTAGATTAATTTCATTTACATGTTGATAAAACTTTGCAATTAACCAATTTTATGTTATTTTATGAAGTTTAAATTTGAGTTAGTTTGGTAGTTATTTATATGCAAATTGACAAACCATGGTTCGATCGCCTACTGGATCAGACTGTCGATTATTTCCTCGTTGGAATCGTTGGCGGGTCGGCTTTCAACATGTTGAAAGGCATGTACAACTCTCCTAAAGGTGAGCGCCTCATCCGGGGCTTACAAGCTGTACGCATGAACGCCCCTCGCTTTGGCAGCAACTGTGGCATCTTTGGTGGTCTTTCATCTGTCTTGGAGAGTTTTATGATACATGTAAGGCAGAAGGATGATCCATGGAATTCTGTCCTCTCTGATGCCACTGCCGTCGGATTAGTCAAGATGCATCGAGGCCTTGGCCCGACTTCACACTCGGCTCTCATTTTTGGTTCGGGAATGGCGTTATTAGAGGGTTATTTGATTGTGAAAAATAGGGTCCAGTCACCACAGCCCGACTTTGAGGAGTTGGATAAGAAGCAGAAGAGGGTAGGAATAAAGACAGAGAGTTTGACTCGCTTTTATTTCACTCACCTTAGTGCTACTTCTATTTCACTACGAGGGTTGGATTTTTATTGAATAAAACTGCACATAGAGTATTTTCTCTATTGAATTCGATCTTGTATTGATATTTGATTGTCATGATTGTTGTTCTTATCATTTTCCGATTGCGCCAAGGCCATTTACCAATGACCAGCGCTACTATAGACGTTTGGGAAGTGGAATAAAAATCAATATCCCCTGGTTCTCAAAAATTTAAGGATTATACCACTTTGCCATATGAATTATGATATAAGGGTTGACATAATCCTATGTGGTAGAAATTAATTTGATGGAACAAATGACCGTGTTTTAAAAAGTCAAATAATAGAGTGTCGCGTGACATTTTGTCAACTATTGTATCAATGATTCTGGCACTATAGCATGGTTAATGCATTGGGTATGGCACTATAGCATGGTTAATGCACTGGGTATGTCGGGTACTAATACATATGACGAAAAATGTCACGTGATAACCTTGTTCGTTTATCATTTAATCTTGATTTTAATCATATATTACGAGATATTAAGTGTGACAATCTTGATTATCGATCATAAATTTCATCATACTATTAAGTCAATGTAAGGCAAAAACTCTTTTCGACTTATGAGTATACATTGACCAAGGATTTTGTTACCAATTTTACTGAACAAAATGTAGATCGTAACCTCTTATCATTTAAGAGTGACGAATCTTGTATTAATCATTAACAACTTTTATATGATTCTTGACTTGCCAAACGATGTCATAGTAGTGACTCTTTGCAGAGCAATATCCAACATCTCCAAAGCATGACTGTCCTCATATATGGCACTGTAATGACCTCAAGTTACATGACCAATTCTACTATTGAACGTAAGAGAGTAACTATCGACACTCAGATAGTTATGCATGTTGAATATCTTCAACTGGTCTCAAATTTTTTCTTTAACAAAAACATCCACGTATTCATTTATATGTCATTACATTTTAGTTTGTGAGATCAAATACTCACTTCGAAAATGAGAAATGCCACACATAACGGTTTAACCATAATAACAATATTCGTATCTCGTTATTAATTATGACTATGAATAATTTAAGATTCACTTATATGTAATTTGTATCTTACAATCATAACTCCTTGTAATTAGTAAATTACCTGAACTTGAATCCACATACTCTATTTAGTATAATTTATAGATCTTACCATAAATAAAATGCATTAATCATATTACAAATGTTTACTTCCGAGATTGATTGGAATTATGGCATAACCCTTACATATTCTACATTAGCAACTCCAGAATCTCCACCTAGGTGCTCGATTCATCGACGACTGTACAACCAAATTTTACCAGCTTTTAGCTCGAAACTCATAGTTGAATCTGAAGAGAAGATGATATCTATAAGCGAACAAAAAAATAGAGAAGAAATAAACAGTGTGTTACATAGCTAGAAAAATAAAAAATTTGAGAAATTACTTAAAACTTCAATGAAATTATATCAAATGCAGAAAATTTATATAGACATGATCTACTATCGTCAACCTCTTAAAAATTCTGAAATCACTTGCTAAAAATCCTACTTAACTCCATTACTGACATTTCATAATCTGACTTAGTCTACCCATAAAAAAGGAATTAAATTATTTGACTTTGTAAGAAGAAATATTAAAAGAAATAACTCCATGTAAGAAAAACTAATTTTTAACACTCCCCATAGTGCATGCTTACGGTCAATAACTCCAAAAGCAACTCTGATACATTTAAACTTAGGCTTTCCTAAGGCCTTCGTAAATATGTCAGAAACTAGATCATGTTTAGAGATTCCCTTCAGCTCAATTTCTTGATCCATCACCTTCTCTCTGATGTAGTGATGACGAACTCCAATATGCTTCGTTTTGCCCGTAGAAAATTGGATTTGATGCAATTTTGATGGCGCTTTCATTGTCACTTTTAATCAGGACAGCATGTCTCTCATCAACCTTTTAAACCACATACATTCTTGTGCAACCATGGTTGTTGCCACATATTCAAGTTCAGCGCTAGATAAAGCAACCATAGATTGCTTCTTGATGCACTTGGATATCACTACTAAACCAGTATTGAATCAATAGCCTAAAATTGAATGTCTATCATTTGCATCTCCTGCCCAGTCTGCGTTAGTAAAGCCACTTAACAAGAGAATTTCACGCATTCTGTACATAAGTCCTTATTCAATAGAGCCTTTACATAACGTAGAATTTTCTTGCTGCATCTAAGTGAGAATTTCTTGGACACTACATGAACTGAGAAATAACACCAACAGAATAAGTAATTTCAAGTCTTGTTATAGTTAAATAAATTAAAACAACCAACAGGTTGTCGAAACTTTCTAGCATCGTTCAACAGCTTTCTTTCACCTGTCTTCAGTTTGAGATCCGACTCCATTGGAGTGGCCTTTTCTTTTGACTCTCTCATGATCCTTTGCATACCCTTCTTTGAGAAATGAAATATCTCTTATCAGATTTTTCAACTTCCTGACCAAGAAAACAACGAATTGTTCCCCAATTTCTTCATCTCAAATCTAACAGATAGATCATTTTTTAGCATAGAAATTGTTGACCTCGAAAAATGGCTCCGACACGTGGCCAACAGAAAATGACCTCGAAAAATGGATCCGTAAGTACTCCGACGGTCAAGTCAATTAAAGTTCAACAGGAGAAGGGTTCATTGGCAACGGAACACTCGTCGGGAAGTGGTTGACAAAAGTTTCAAAAAATAATAATATTCGAGGGAAGAGGATGCTTAATTTCACAATGTAGTGGTAGTTTAAAGTGTTGGATTCCAATATTTTTTCAGGCATAAGGATGAGGTATTTATACCAAGGATGGGAAGAGGAGAGCCGTTGGATGAGGAGACACGTGTTGCCAGATCTTCAAGACTCGTCCTATCCTAGGTGTCATCCCTCCATAGGTTGACTAGCATTGTATGTTCCTGACAAAAGTAACTGATTTGACCGTTTGGGTCCTGCCGCCCGTCCCGTCAGTCAATGACTTGACTTAGGAAAGATCTTTGTACAAGGGATCTTTGATGAGGCGAGACGAGGAAGGGGAGGCGTTGCAGCGTTTGTAGAAGCGGAGTGCGGGCCTTTGCATTCGCGATACACGTGCGGATGAGTCCGGTTCGTTCATTGACAAATATTTAGTTCGTCACTGTGGGATCACTTCGGCATATACAGCCAATTCGTCCCATGAACAATCACCTCGACTGATACGTGGCGTAGTGTGGGCCACCGCTGATGACACACGGAGGGTGAGGTGCGGGTCTGACTCAGACTTAATTTCAATAGATGAGTAGGTACGAACGGGGACGAGCACCGGAGGCGGATAGTCGAAGTGATAAGGACTGGCAACTTGAGGAGGGTAAGTTGTAACTGTAAGTATTATGCCCTAAGTCCAATCGACTTTGGATATAAACATTTTAGATATATATAATCGATGCATATTTATGACAATATCTATTATTTAATTGAATTAATATTCTAATAAATTAAATAATAGAATCCGTAGATTTAAGTTTGGGTGATTTGTTAATCACAAGGAGTTGTGATTGTGAGACACGAATTACATATAACTGAATCTTAAATCGTCCGTAGCCGAAGTAATAACGAGATACGGATATCGTTATTATGGATAGACCATCGCGTGTGACATTCTTACTTGTGAAGTAAGTAGCTGATCTCACAAGCTAAAAACACGTGAATGTTTTGTTATAGAACAAAACATTGGAGACCCGCAGAGAGATTCTACATGGATAACTATCTGAGTGTTAGTGGTTAATCTTTAACGTTCTGTAGTGGAATTGGTCCTTTGACTTGAGGTCATCATAGTACCTTATATGAGGACAGTCATACTTTGATAGTGTTGGATGTTACTCTGTCAAGGGTCGCTAATACAGTATCGTTCGGGTATGTCAAGAATTATATGAAGGTTGTGAATGATCGATAGAGAATTCGTCACTCTTAGATAGTAAGAGAATATGATCTACATTTTATCCAATTAAATTGATAATGAAATCATTGGTCAAGGTGAACTCATAAGTCGAAAAAGAGTTTTCGATTACATTTCTGACTTACGTAGGGATCGCTCTCGAGAAATTCCTAATGCAATAAGGCAAGGTAGGCAGGGGCGTAGGATGAATCTTGAAGAAGAAATTGAAGCGGGAAGTTGAACGGATGAGGATGCATTGGAAGAATAATGGGTAGAGTAGATAGGTATGGAAAAAGGGATCAGGATCGTGATGGAGATGGAGATGATGGAAACATGGGTAACGTCAAGATGAAAATTCCAACATTCAAGGGTAGAAGTGATTCAGATGTGTATTTTGAGTGGGAAAAGAGGATTGAATTGATCTTCGATTGCCACAATTATTTGGAGGAAAAGAAGGTAAAAATTGCAGTCCTTGAATTTACTAATTATGCTATTACTTAGTGGGATCAAATAGTGACTTCGAGGAGGAGGAATAGAGAGCAACCTGTTAGTACCTGGGGAGAATTGAAAAACATCATGAGGAAGAGATTTGTGCCTAGCCATTACTCTAAGGAGATTCATCAAAGGTTGCAAGGCCTTTACCAAGGGTCTCGGAGTGTGGAAGGCTATCACAAGGAGATGGAGATTTTGATGATTAAAGAAAATATTGTGGCAGATAAGGAGGCTACAATGGCTAGATTTATGAATGGGTTGAATAGAGAAATAGCAAATGTAGTGGAGTTACAAAATTATGTGGAGATGGAGAAACTACTACATGTGGCTATGAAGGTGGAGAAACAAGTGAAGAAGAAGGGGACAGCCAGGTATTCATCGGGTTCTTCGAGTTCTAATCCTTCATGGAAACTGAGGTGGGATAACAAAGGTGATGGGGTTGTTCAAAATGGAAGGGCTGAGTTTCCAAAGAGTAAAGAGGAGAATACTACCAATGCTCCAATCAAAGCTGGAGCCCAAACAACGAGGAATATGGGCATCCAATGTTTTAGGTGTTTGGGATTGGGGCACATTGCTTCTCAACGTCCAAACAAAAGGACAATGGTGGTATGCAATGAAGAGGTGGTGAGTGAAAGTGAAAGTGATTATGAAGACATGCTGGATTTGGAGGAAGTTGGCGAAGAAGCGAAGACAGAGTATGCTGTGGGTGAGTTATTGGTCACGAGGCAAGCTCTTAGTGCTCAAATAAAGGTGGATGACTTGGACCAGCTGCGGGAGAACATATTCCACACAAGGTGTCACGTCAACAATACGATATGTAGTGTTATTATTGATGGGGTAGTTGCACTAATGTAGCCAGCACCACACTTGTAGAGAAGCTAGGACTTGCATTGTTAAAACATCCCAAACCATATAGGTTGCAATGGTTGAATGATAGTGGTGATATTAAGGTAAACATGAGGGCCTTGATTAGTTTTTCCATTGGGAGTTATCGAGATGATGTTATGTGAGACGTAGTTCCTATGCATGTGGGGCATATATTGTTGGGGAGACCATGACAATATGATAGGAATGTGATACATGATGGGTAGAAAAATAGGTATAGCTTTAGAAAGGATGGGAATGCAATTACTCTTGCACCATTGACACAACAACAAGTGTTTGAAGATCAAATTAAGTTAAAAAGTGAGGAGGAGAGGAGAGTGAAAGAAAATGAACGAAAGAGAGAAAATTGTGAGGTGGTTAATGGAGATGAAAAGAGAGTGGAGCCACATGAGGGGAAAACAATGAGGTTGAGAGAAAAGAAAGAGAGAAATAGGGAAAAGAAAAGGAGATGAGAGAAAAAACGAGAGAAAATTTCTTTGTAAAGTGAAGTGAGTTGAAAAGAGCTACAGTTGATAGGCAACCAATGATTCTTTTGGTATACAAAGAATCAGTCCTCAACCATGAGGAGACTAACATATCCCTTCCTAGTTTGGCTACTTCTTTGTTGCAGGAATTTCAAGATGTTTTCCTGGAAGACGTGCCTAGTGGGTTACCACCCATTCAAGGGATCGAACATCAGATTGATTTTTTACCTGGAGCTATTATTCCAAACTGACCAGCATATGATAGAAATCCTGAGGAGACTAAGGAGCTGTAAAGGCAAGTGGAAGAATTGTTAATCAAAGGGTATGTGCGAGAAAGCATGAGTCCACGTGCCATGCCGGTGTTACTTGTGCCAAAGAAGGATGGGACCTGGAAGATGTGTGTGGATTGTAGAGCCATTAACAACATTACGGCAAAGTATCGACATCCTATCCCTATGTTAGATGACATGTTAGATGAACTACATGGTGCATGGATATTTTCTAAAATTGATCTTAAAAGTAGTTATCATCAAATTAGAATGCGAGAAGGGGATAAATGGAAAACTGCTTTCAAAACCAAATATGGATTGTATGAATGGTTGGTTATGCCATTTGATCTTACTAATGCACCTAGTATTTTCATGCATTTAATGAATCATGTTTTGTGTGCTTTCATAGGTAAATTCGTGGTAGTATACTTCGATGATATCTTGATTTATAGTAAAGACTTGAATGAGCATGTAGAACATTTGAAGTGTGTTCTTGTAGTTTAAGAAAAAACAATTTTATGCTAATTTCAAAAAGTGTTCATTTTCCATGGAAAAAGTTGTCTTTCTTGGATATGTTGTTAGTGCTAAGGGAATAGAAGTTGATGAAGATAAAATCAAAGCTATTAAAGAATGGCCAACACCTAGGAGCATAACTGGGGTTAGGAGTTTCCATGGCTTGGCTAGTTTTTATGGGCGATTTATTAAGGACTTTAGCACGCTTGCCACACCACTCACAAAAGTCGTTAAAAAGAGTGTAGGATTTAAATGGGGGTGTAGAACATGAACTTGCATGTAAGGCAATTAAGGATAGGTTATGTAAAGCACATGTTTTAGCATTACCTAACTTTGACAAAGCTTTTGAAATTGAATGTGGTGCGTCAAGAATAGGTATTGGTGCTGTTTGATGTAGGATGGAAGACCAATTGCATATTTCAGTGAGAAATTATGTGGGGCAGTACTCAACTATCCTACATATGACAAGGAGTTGTATGCACTTTTTCGAGCTTTGGAGAATTGGCAACATTATCTATGGATGAAAGAGATTGTGATCCATACTGACCATGAATCCTTGAAGCATCTGCAGGGCCAAGGGAAGCTAAAGTTTTACATTGATTTCCCTCTGCAAGTGTGGATAACAAAATGTAAAAATAGTGTATGATTCTCTCACCAAGGTTCTGATTCTATTACCCAAAGGTGTATTCATCAGTTTGGTCTCAGTATTAATCCCAATAACTGAAACGAAGGCATCATCTATTCAATATGGCTGTTCAGTGGCCTGCGATGATAGTAGAGGCTAACATTCAGTTGAGGAGAAAGGGTGCAATAGCGGGTGGTGGTGGTTGTCGGAGTAGCAGAGGTGGTGGCGGATTGGTGATAGCGAGTGGGGTTGAGATGGAGGCTGTGCTTGATATGATGGGTGTCGGAGCGATCAGTTAGAAGCTTTGCTTGGTGGCGGGTTAGATTATAATAAGGTTTGGAGGATGAAGATGGTAGATATGGGCTATGTTAATAGGTAATAGGTTGGACTGAATTAATGGGTCAGCTTATGTTGAAGGTGGGGTGCATTTTTGGTAGTATGTAATGGGCTTGGGTTATATGGTGTTAATGGACTTCTGGATAAGTGGGCTGGTTTGAGTCAGTTTGTGTGGAATCGTTAGTGGGCTATTGTGTGAGCTAAATTGTTGATTAGGTTGCATTATTGAAAGCATGCTAGAATATTGAGATTGGACATATTAAATTTTGTAGTTTACCTTATTTTGGTGAGTTGGGCTATACATTTTCCATTTTCTTGGGGCTAATTGATCTAATTTTTGGACTTGCCACAATATAATTGAGTTGAGTTTGGGCTCTTAATTTCTTAAGTTGAGTTGTTTGTTTTGGTTGTATATTTGAGTTTTATCTTAGTTGGGCTGCTTTGGGCTACATTATTTGGACTGATTTTTTAGCAATTATAATTTGATATTTCTACTAAAAAAAAGGAGATATGGGAGTGCAGACCATTAACATGTGGTGAGTGTAGACCATTGAGTTTTTGTTGCTTAGGTAATGAGCTAGCTTAGGTAATGAGCTAGAGTTTTGGTTTCTCGGAAGATGATAATCTTTGAGTTTTGGTGTATGCTGTTTTGTGGGATTTTTTTCACCTGCAGTATCAGGAGTTTTGGCCGATATTTTGGCATTAGAACTTTTGTCGGGATCCGAATTATTTGTGAGTTCTCTGAAGTATCTTTGGTGTGTTCTTTATTGGTTACTGCACTATTTATTGTTCTTGGTCTCTCATTGTCACTAATTCTTGTAGATGATTACTCTAATTTGGATTTCTACTTCGTGGGCACAATTGCAAATTGATGCTTTTACCAGCATCAATTTGAGGGGATGTCAAAGAGATTGAATAAGATTACGGAGGTCATCGAAGATTATAATTGTATTATTATTAAAATTGTATCATATATAGATAAACTACTTTTACCATATTTAGTTATGATTTTGGTTCTATATAATGAGATAACCTCTCATATAGAGGGGCATCGAATCTTATTAAATACTATTGTATATATTTGACACAATGTTGCTCTGACAATGGTCGATAATACAGCATCGTTCGGGTATGTCAAGAATCATATGAAGGTTGTGAATGATCAATAGAGAATTCATCACTCTTAGACAGTAAGACATTGTGATCTACATTTTATCCAGTTAAGTTTACATTGACTTAACAGCTAGATAAAATATATGATCGATAATTAAGATTGACGCATATCCATATCTCATAATTGATCGAATCATATTGAAGAAAGGATTATAGTTTCACGGTAAACGAACAAATTTGGTTTTGTCATACCAAGTGACGTTTCCAGTCACATGTATTGCCCTGACACATTGCTAGAATCACTCTGGATGACAGATGTGAATTGATAATAAATTAAAAGGGGTATATAATTTATCAATTTTGATTAGATCAAAATAATAATTCACTTAGTTAGATATCGTGATCGGGAACTTAATGGGCCACACACAAAAGAGAACCAGAAAAATGAGATTTACCAATTAATTAATTGACAAATGTTGAATAATTAATTAATTGAATTGCTTATTAATAGATCCGAATTAATTAATTGGATTAATTAATTCATGAACCGGATTTAATTAATATTAAATATCGGACCGGGTTAAGTTTAGATATGGGCCAAGCCCACTTGAATTTATATTAATAAGCTACTAGAGTTTGTAAATGGTATGAAATTTTCATTATTCTTGCTAGCACAAGAAAAGAAAAGCCTAACCGTCATTCTTGCTCTCTGTGTGGATCATAATTGGAGGCTGGACAATTGGACAGCTTGGATTGCAGATTGTGATCATTGGAGTTCGAGAATCAGCAAAAGAGTTTGCAGAATTCATCAAAGGAATTATTCTCAACACAATTTCTATCTAAACACATAGCAGATTTGTGGTGGGAATTGAAAAATTATTAATTTTTTGCTGTGCATGTTAAGTGAATTTCCAACAGTAACAACATCAGATTCTGCTATGGCCGAAGTGATTTGGGTTGGTAACTCTGTAGAGAGCTGTTGCAACTCGAAGCAATTGTGACCAAAGTGATGGGAGTTGGCAACTCAAGTGGAAACTGTTGCAACATCAGATTATGCTCTGGCCGAAGTAATGTGGGTTGGCAACTCTGTAGAGAGCAATTGCCGCGCAAAGTAACTATGGCCGAAGCGATGGGAGTTGGCAACTCAAGAGGGAGCTATTGCAACACAGATTCTGCTCTAGCCGAAGCGATGTGGGTTGCCAACTCTGTAGAGAGCTGTTATACTGCGAAGCTATTGTGGTTGAAATAAATTCCAGAGGGTCTTGGGTCTTGTGTCAATGATTTGAAGGCTTTCGTATCTTCCCAAGACAATCATGAGGGGACGACTGTTTGCTTCCAAGACAAGCTTCCCTTGCCATAAATTGTAATGATGATGATGGCATCCGTTCCTCAAGGTGACGTGTTTGGGTCGCACGTGTAGCTCACCGCTTAATCAGGGCTGTTAATTTAAATGACCTTTAGGTTTGATGGAGATCCCTGTGCTCTCTCTTTGGACGGTCTAGATGTGGTTTGGGTGATCTACAAGTTTCGAAATGCCTATAAAAGGCTCATTCTCTTCATTTCCAAGCTTTTACTTTCGCAAAAATTTCATACTGCTTTCGAACTCTCTAGGACTCATTGTGATTTTTCTTCTCCGGCTAGCATTCAAAACTTCGGTGATCTCTCTGCAAGTTCTGGCGAGCAAGTATCATTCAACGAGTTTAGGTAATACTTCCCATTTTTCAGTTTCTTCGTTCATTCCTTTAGATTCTATCCAAACTTGGGAAAAATGCTGAGTGAACAATCTATTAATGCTTCTGGGAGCAAGGAGAGGAGAGGTAAAAAGAGTTTTACTTCACAGGAGCCCATATTAGTGTCTTCATACCAATTGAGTAGGGCCATTAGGGCAGAGAAGAACATCTGGAGACGCCCAGCCTCCCATGTAGACACTTCAGTTCAATGGGGGGCTTCGAACTACCCTTCAAAAATTACAAGAGAGGTGCTGGAGAGGTGTAGGGTTGTTTCTAGGATCCCTGATAACATAGAACTAATTGTACCCTAGCCCCATGAGAGGGTCTACTACCTGAGGCCCGGGTGTGTAGCCATGAGTGAAAACCTTCTCAAGGCAGGCCTTAGACTTCCATTCCATCCCTTCTTTTGGTTAGCGCTTCGGTCGTATGGGTTGGCTCTGACTCAGCTCAGCCAGAACGCGTGGTCCCATATGGTGGGAACATGGGTGTTGTGGCATTGGGCTAGCATCAGGGTGGATATGACCTTCAGTAATTTCATTCTCTTTTCTTGCTTAAGTGTGTAGCGAAAGGGGAGGAGGAGAGTAAGGAGTGGTACTATTTGGCGCCTTGGGGGTCTTACGCCCCATTCATAACCCGATTGCCTACTTCTATTAAGGGTTGGAAGAGTTCCTGGTTTTAGATAGCTGGGAAGTGGGATACTATGGAGGGCGACCCCATGGCGCCTCTTACTGTTCCCACATCGTACTCGACTTACAGTAAGTTCTTTTCCCGACCTAATTTTACTTGTGCATCTTTGCTCATGGTCTTAATATATCCTGTTTGCAGGCTCCCTTCCAAGGTGTGAGATATTAGAGGAGGAGTGGGATATAATAAGCCAGCTATATCAGATACCTCCGTCGGAGAGGAGTTACAAGGATATTATCGACAAGAATATTCACTTCGTCTTCCATGGGCTGATGTCGAACTAAGGTAAACACCCCGCTTTAGCTCCCTTTTTTATCTCCTCCTATATGAAAGTACTTAGCCATTCGTGTTGTCTGCAGCAGACTTTGCAAAGAAGAAGGTGTCGACGCCTGATTTTGCAACGATTCGTCGAAGTGTGGCAGAGGCGAAAATGTTGAAGACGATTTCGACTGCTTACAAGGAGCAGTCGGAGAGACTATTTTCCCTCAGCAAGGCTTCGCAGCCGGCTGAGGAAGATGAGGAGGAGGATGGAGCCCCCCTCGTGAAAAAGAAGAGAGCGGCCCAACAGGGGTGTTTGCTTCAGCTCTTCCGGCGGAGGTTTCTTCCCCAGCTCAATCGGGGGTGATCGCCATTACTGCCTCCGTTGCAAAGGCCATCATCCTCATCACGGCCTATTTTTCTGAGTGGCCAACCAAGAAAAGGTTGAAGAAGCCTGCGACTGCTTCGGCCCGAACCAAAGCAGCGAATTTTATTGGGAGTAGAGACGATGAACTCTCCGAGGCAGTATTGGAGATGCTGCCTCCGGAGACCGCCACTACCGCCCGAGTCCACGCTAAATATTGGACCAAGGACTGGCAAGACCACGCCGCCTCGTGAGATATAGAGGACCTATTGGTTGTCAGTAATGGCTGTGTGGCTAGAGCTTTGAGTATGGGTACCGCGACGAAGGACCTGGTTAGAGGCCTCCGCAAATGGAACGATGAGTTAGAGGAGAAGTTGAAGGCCTCTAAAACTTGGAAAGTAGAGGTGGCGAAGGCGAAGAAGGAGGTGGAGGTGGAGGTAGAGGAGAAATGGATCATGGCCATTACCAAACTGGATTCGATCGAAGTCCAAGTAAGTCGGCTGAGGCATGAGCTTCATGAGTCCGTCTCCCCAAGTGGCAGCCCTGACCACGAACTTCACCATTCCCGTTCGAGCTTCTTCCTCCGAATACATTCATGTAGAAAGTTGCGTAGTAGTAGCACTGGCTTATGGAGTACCAAATTGTAGTTGCATTTGACCAGCTGGAAGAAGCCCATGTTTGACCGAACATGATTTGTAGTGACGGTTGAGGTGGGTGGTTCCAATGCCTTTTTGCCATGCCAGTCGTTGTTGGCAGTATTTACATACAGCTTTGGTTTCTCGAAGTCCATCGCCCACATGACCAGTGGAAACCAATTTGAAATTATCCCAACATTTTACCTACTTCTTCCCCCTTCTCTTCCCGGTTGCACTTGCATCGGGAATATTTAATGTCAGTTCTTCATTTTGTTCCAAATCAATTGGAACATCATCATTGTCATCCAAATCAATTGGATGACTATCACGAATGTTGAAATCTTCAATATTTTAGGGGATTGGTAATTCATTGAGACCGAAGAATTCATTCCCAAATTAATTTTGAGCAGGTGTTTGTGTTTCGTTCTCCATACCGAACAAGCTTTCAACAAATGATCGTGAATCCATTTGTTATGGATAATAGAAATTGAATTTAGAAATATAGAATTGAGAAATGAAGAATTGAGAAATGTAAAAAAAGAGAAGAAGAATTTTCAAATCTTGAATCTTTTCAATGATTTCTTGATGAATCTCCACTTGCGCCTTCTCTTCTCTACCCAGAAATTAAGTTCGAATTTTTACTTGATTGAATTTTTCCAAGTCCCCTTCAATTCTCTAACAAAAACTATGAATTTTCCTCATTTGATGATAATAATTGGTGAGTATTGGAATATGAGATGTATATATGAGAGGTCCCCCATATGTATTCTGATGTTCAATATTTTTAGGAGAGACAATTGGTTGAAAATCAAATCAAATTGGTTTTCAAAAGAGTTCCAATCGACTAAGGAAAATTGCCTTTGCGCGCAGTTCGATTGAGATGATTCAAAGTATCTTGAAAAGATAATTCAAAGGGCTACAGCTTTGATATATGAAGAACTTTTCCAATTCGAACGTTTACTATGCCAAACATTGATTTCAACATTCAACTAAAAATCTGGAATATAACTTGTGCAATTGGAAATTGATTTTGATCATATTTCATTCCTTTTTGAGTTCTAATTCCATCCAATTGTCTCTTAACAATATTCAAAGTATTGTCTTGTGGTCCGAATTAACTATTGAATATTTACAATTTTCAAACTTTGGATTTTATCATTTTTCCTTGAATTTTCTTTTGTTTCTTCAAATTTTTCGTTCAACCATCGAGAGTATAACCTATATAACATAAAATACAACATTTTATGATATATTTTGTCAAAAGAATTACCAAATATTGATATTTTAGACCCCGAATAAGTGTATAAAATACACTTTTTAATATACGATTCCTAACATGATGAATTTCACAATGCATAAAAGTCAATGTACGTCTAATAATATAATAAACTAACATGTTTATGAATACAATTTATATAAATTCTTAAATGATTTAATATACCTGAAATACATAGTTCAAGTGATTTATTCCACATGATTTTCTAGTAAGGTTTTACCAGGCATATTGTTTATTTAATGAATGTTCATAACCTATAAGACATTTATCCTTAATATAAATTTATGTTTTACCTTCATATAATATATGTTTTATACGAGACTCTTGAAGAAAGTAACAACAAAATTTGATCTTCAATAGACTAGCATATCAACTAAATTCAAACAATAATAAACAAATATATTTTATGAAGAGAATGCAACTTGTATTGCACAGTTCAAATGAGTTTTTATTAAAGGGGATACGACAAAGTATATTTTTCTAAAATTTTCAAATATATTGTATGAAGAGAATGCAACTTGTACTGCACAACTCAAATAAGTCTTTTTTAAATGGGACATGACAAAGTATATCCTTCTAAAATTTTCTATACACGAGCTTTAGAAAACTGGTAACACGATGTTCAACGAATTCACTCATGAGATAATGTGGCTAACTTTTCATAAAAGTATTGTCAACATTTACATTCAAGAAATTGACACATGAGATAGAAAGACGTCGATATGAAGGTTTTCAATTATCAGGGTCAAGAGATTAACTTTCTCTTTTCCCTTCTCTCATGTTTTATCTTATTGGATTTTGGACAAAATTTTAATGATACACAAACATTTGTTTAATACTTCGAAAAAATAATTGTATTATTTTTTTCCTTCCTTTGAAATTTTTGTCCCTCCATGGTTTTATCAAATAAGGATTTTAATGAAGCAGATATTGTGTATTAGCGATTCAAAGGGAAGTGTAATTAAATAATATTGAATGACTATTGTATCATTACGTTCCTAATTCTTACATATAAATATAGAATTTTAGTTCTCAATAAAATACACATACGAATATTGACTCTTTCTAATTTTTCCTCTTATTATTGTCTCTCTCTTTAGTTTTTAAAATTCCATAATATTATTATTTATATAACTTTTGCTTGTATCTCAATTTTGTAGTTTTCAAGAAAATCTTCAACAATTTGTCGATGTTTCTTTCAATTAAGTGTTTAGTAAATTTTATTCTCAAAATTATAATTTTATTAGTCAATAAGTTCAAATAATACCTTTTAAAAAGTCTCGACAAATAATTTTGATAAATTTGGTGGTTACACATCACAAAGATTAACATATTTCAACAAATGAGAAAATTAGGACTAGGCTTCTTAATCTTTCACTTTACGTGGTTATGGGTGTCCAATATTTTAAAATGAAGCTTTGAGTTCCAACCTATCTATGTGAAAGAAATAACAAATGTAGATGAAAAAAATAATATGCAGCTTTTACACAACTTTCAATTAGTGGACATAATCGTCAAATCACTTGATACTTATTTTCAATTCAAATGAAAGTCGCGTGTCATTTGAATGTTCAAATTATCAATTTTCATCATGTGGGGGCCGAAATTCTCAAATTTAAATAGGTTGAAAACTCAAAACATTTATTTTAAAAGCTGGGAACTTATAACTATACTATGTGAAACGTTGAATTTTCCCTCAACAAAAAAATATGTTTCATTATGGATTGAACTAGTGACGGTACAATATAACATCCTAATTGCGCGAGTAGTCAGACAAGAGTACAATGTGAACGACTAGTTATTTTGTTGTGTTTCTTTTTGTCGTAGAATACTTTCACATGGAAGAACACAAATGACAAAACATAGGCATTCCCATCTGACTAGCAATGGAAGAAATAATATTCAATGTTTCCAAACAAATACACGCACTTAGAGATGTCTTCCATGTGGGAGGTTTGAATTGGATTATGAATCAATATTTTGAAGTAATTAACATTCTAATAATGATGGACTCTTAAGTAATCGGGTAATACTATTTACAATCTCTCACTACGGTAATCACCCTACATGTATGTCACGTAGGACTGCTACGTTAATGAGCGATTGCAAATAGCATTATTCTAATTAATCAGAATGACACTTAAAAAGTATTAATTCGATAAACAGAGTTATACAAGAATATTCTATATGCTTGACTAAGTAAGTTCAAAATTGTCTCAAAACACTATATGGACGGAGTTGCTCTAGTTCAACATGAACCCTTTTTGAGGTAGCCAACTCAACCGATTTTAATTTTGCATGAGTAGTTTTCTACTTTTAAACATGTTCGTCTAAAGCGAGACTTAAGATCAACCCGGCTCGACTGTAAAGCTGGGCTAGTTTATAACTCAATCAGTTAGGGAGCGAGTCACATTTAAGCCTTACTTTTTATTGACAACACTCATTAATTTAGACGATTTAACCTATCTTAAGAGATGCTTGTACATGATACACTGAAGTAATGAATAACAAACATACACCACTCATAAAAAAGTTGAACCTTTCTTGGTGGACGAAAGTCGTATCTTTTGGATAGAGAAATTGCCAAGGGAACCTAATACAATGGGATTAGGGCACTGATATTCGCATTTATTACAGCAATGACATCTACTTATTTGTTAAGTAATATGATTGTTCGGTGACCATTATATGTAATTAAGCAGTGTTTGGAATAATTGGGCATAAATCATGACCCAAGATTGAAGGTGGAAAATATTAAGCGGTAGTAATGGTCAGGGTATAGGGATAATAGAGCGGTGAATGCGCCAGGAAAAAAAAAGGATAAGATGTTAAACTTACTTTTAATAATTTAAATAAGAAATAACTTAAGGTAAATCTCATTAGTGTGATTGAACTTTCAGGGTAATTTAAATTATATCACTAAACTTTAGTTTATATATGGTGGGTGAATAAATCGGACGTTTCCATTTAAAAAAAAAAAAAATTTTTGTTTTGAATAGTACATTTTGGATAATGTGTAGTTAAAAATGTTACGTATAAAATATTTTATTGTATGAATGTGTGGAAGAAAATGAACACATAGAAAAAAGAGTTATGAAATTTCACCACTTTGTCATATTTAGTCACCTATTATCATCTTCTAAAATTCATTATTTGGCTTTCATCTTATAACTTATCTTACACTGCATGGTATCCTAGAAACGAAAATAGTAAAATGATGGTTATGATAATATATTTATATAGTGTATTTCTATTTGCAAATTTTATGACACGACCTATTTTTAAGTTGTCATGTCAAGTAAAGATTGCGTGGAAGATTCATTGTCAGTATGGGAGCATTATAGCGATTCTCATTAATTTGAGAGATAATAGAAAGAGTGGTTGAAACTAAAATTGTAGTTCAGTAACTCAATTGAACTGACTTGAAATTCAACAATCAAGTTGAGACAAATTAAAGTTTTATGATCCAATTGAGGATTCGCTAAAAGTTCAGTGTCTACAAATGACATTCACCCAAATAACATAAGCAAACAATTTCAAAATTTTGTATTTATGAAAAATGTTAAAATTCATTGAAAATTTTGATTCCCATAAAAGCAAAAAAGGTAGGAGCATTTGTGAATGGACCATATATTTTGGTCAAAATGAAGAAATTACAAGTTAAGGAAGGAATTGGATTCAGAATAAATAGGACGTAGACATTAGAATTCCCCCTCCACTTCCCCTATATAAACCCAATTCCATAGTTTCTTCAAAACTAGCCCACAAGATCAGACTGAGGCATTATTTTTCCATCTACAAACCCATTTGCATTAAAAAAAAAAATTCGAAAATGGGTTCATAAATTGGGGGCTCAAATTTTTTGAAAATGGAGATTCAAAGAAATAAGGATGTAAAAATTCCTGTTGGGTTTAGATTCTATCCCACAGATGAAGAACTGATTATTCACTACTTGAAGAGAAAGGTCTATTCTCTGCCATTGCCAGCCACTGTCATTCCTGAATTGGATGTTTTCCAAACTAATCCCAGAGACTTGCCAGGTTAGTTCTTAAATATTGATATTTTAGTTTCTGATTTCATTTTGTATTCTAGGGATTAAGGCTTAATGCGTAACGATTCTTGTAATATAGGTGACTCGTGGGAGAAGAGATATTTCTTCAGCAAAAGAACTATGAATTTGAACAAGTGTAGCAATGGCTGCTGGAAAGCCACTGGAAAAGATAAGAAAATTGTAGCTCCTGGAAATAACCAAACAATTGGGGTGAAGAAATCCCTCATATTCTATGAAGGGAACTGCAAAAAAACTAGTTGGGTTATGCACCAATACTCTTTAATAACTTCATTATCAACTCAGGTATGAAAAAATATACATATATGCTTGGATATTAAATTAGAAAAAATAGCTAAAATCTTGTTCATTGACAATCTTCTGCAGAAAATCAGGATGCCGGAGGGAGAGTGGGTGGTTTGCTGCGTATTTCGGAGGAAAACGAAGAGACCAGCTATGAATTTGGCAAACAATATTTCCCAAATTGCTTCTCCATCTTGTTCAAGTGGGATCACTGAGATTTCTTCTTAACAGTAGTTGTGTTAGTTTTCAATCTAGCACTTAAATCCAGAAACAATAATAATCACTGTAATGAATACCGTGTTGTAATGAATCGAGTTGTTAGAATTTATGAAGATAGATACACGGAAACCTCTCGATATTTCTATCCACTGTACTTGAGGACTCGAGTTCAAATTTTTATTTCATTATACTGTCAAGTATCAACCACTGAAACTATTCTTGATTCCGTGGTGTTTTGCTTGTGTTACTTTGTTCCATAGTGCAGAATCTCTTTCTTGATTGATAAGGCATGTTTTGCCAACTTATGAGAAAAAAAGTTTTTCTTGATGCTTAATTTGCCAACTTTGCTTATTCTTTTGTTTTCCCATTACCAATTTAATTATTAAAGGTTCCATATCTTATCAATCATTTAAGAGAATATGAAGGCTGCATCACAGATTATTAATCTCCCGTATCTGAAGCTTTTCCAGTTAAAAGGCAAGTTAATTTTTTGGAACAAAAAAGATGATGCAAAGAGAAATAAAGTGAAGCATCCAAGGAAAGAAGACAGAACCTCAAATGCTATCTAGTTAGAATTTTGTGAAAAGGAAATCCCCCTCTACTCCACTCCACCCCACCTACGCAGCGCCACGTGTGAATATGCATATTTTTTTTGGGCTTAAAAATAAGTTTATTCTTCTCTCAAGTCACTTATTTTATCAACAAATTATCGAAGAAAAAGAGCCCAAAGCACGTGCTGACTCGCAGGTTTTTAAGTCTTGCTTGAGAATATTGGATCGAACCTTGTCTTTGAGGCTATTTGATAGCCATGTTTTCCATGGAAAATGGGAAACAATTTCCATTTTCCAAGTTTTGGCTTGTTTGATAGTCATTTTTTGCCATGTAAATTTTTTTCTTACTTTACTCTACACATGTACATTTTCATGGAAATTGTGGACTTAGTTTTCCCATCATTTTGGTGAGGAAATGAAATTCCAGCTTTTTTTTTTNAAGCCAAACGAACACAAAAAGATTCAAAATTTTAAAATTTTTCGGGGTGGAAAATTATACCAATCAAATACACTTAATTTACAATTCCTTGGAAAACAAGTTCCAGGCAATCATTTTTTTTTTTTAATTCATTTTCTTTTCACCCATTTTCTACATTTGCAATCAAACAGACTCTTAGTTTTCTTTCTCATAAATTAGGCCATACATTTATTTTTCACAATTGGTGTATTTATTATTAAAAAAAATAACTAATTTGAATCTATTTATTAATATTTTCATTTTTTATCTTCATGAGTAAAAGTAAAACTATTATTTTTTTAAAAAAATTAAATTCATTTAATAATTTTATCCTTGGCGTCTTTACTCTGATGTGGAGAGAGAACAATAATCCTTCATGTTCAGAATTTCTTTCCCCATTTAACTTTTTGGGTGACACGCTATGAATTTTTCCGACCTATATTAATCCATCTAATTTAGTTTGCATTTATATTTATGTCACAATTTCACAGCTTCATTAACGAAGAAGAGATAGATGTCACATTTTATGTCTCTCCATAACACTGGTCATATTTGAACTATTATCCAGGACAAGACATACGTCAAAGTCGACTCAGTTTTTAATATTATCACAATTTCAGAGAAAAGTCACAAAGACAGGCATGTCATATCACATATGGTTATAAATAACGGAGGTCAAAAACACAATTTACACAAATAGAGACATGGGATGATATATTAGAGGTCACAAATAAAAATTGTATATATTACATCAAATGATCTCTGTTGAATCAAATTTGATGTAACATTATTCATTACTCTAATTTGGTGTAAAAACTAAAATTCCAATTGTAATATAATTTTCGCACCAAATTGGGGCATTTTAAAGTTTGGCTGGAGATGCCTTGAGAGAGCAAAATATATCTACATATGTAACCTTTAGTCCTTTTATATCCATCCATTTTAAAAATATTGTGAATTGTGACCTGATTTCTACAAGGATGATGCTAGACGTACAGGGAAAAGGGAGTGGGTGGTTTACCAGCAAGACACATAGGGGGGAGGGGTGGGTTTTTTTTTCTTTTTTAAAACATGTGGGGCCCGCCGATTGTGAGAGGCCTGACAAGCCCCTGTGAAACCCCCACCTGTACGTGGGGGGTTTTTCCTTTCTACAAACTTTGTGAAAACGGAAACCTGATGATAGTTACCAACTTTTCCCGTCTTATTTTGACATCGAGAAGATGAACTTTGCATAATTGGTTAGGAAAACCAATCCAATCTTCTAAGTTCTTGTTTACTGAGCCTTTTTAAATGCTTATAAGTAACGAGTCTTAAGGAATTTGTGAATATGTGCTAAAAATTGTATAGTTAAAAATGATGTTCTACTTATTTATTAACATTAAAAATCACTGCATAACACGAACTAGTAAAGTGTTTATAAATAATTTAAATTATAAATAGATAAAAATGAATGATGAATAAGTTAGTAAGTAGTATTTATGATCATTATAAAACATCTATAATATATTAAATATCACATCAAGCGAGAATCATTTTTTGATGATTATATCCCTACCGCAATTCAATTATTTCAATAATACATTTTCATTTTTCAATATGTATTTAATTTAAAACTTTAATAAATACCATAATTAATTCTCAATTAATTAACATTCGTATTCATTTAACTAATATTAATTAGAATTTCATTTTCATTATTCACGTCCATATACTCTAATTAGCATCGAGTTTCACTTAATTGGAAATTAAATTATAGTCATTTAATAAAAATTATTTAACATATAATATTTAATATTTAAACATAACATCAAGTGATAATCATTTTTTGAACGATTATAGTCCTACTACAATTCAGTTGTTTCAATATACCCTTAGATTTCATTTTTCAATATGTATTTAATTTACAAACTTTAATAAAAACTATAATTAATTATTAATTAATTAACATTCACATTTTTAATTATTATTAATTAATATTAGCATTTACGTTTATTTAATTAATATTAATTAGAATTTCACGTTTACATCCAGTTCATTATTCACGTTCTTGTATGCTAATTAGCATTGATTTTCATTTAATTGAAAATTAAATTATATTTATTTAATAAAAATGATCTAACATTCATTATCACTTATATATTCCTTGATATTAATTCTAAATTAATTAATATTCACGTTAAATCATGCATCGTATTTGCCATTCATTTCCATTTATGCATTTAGTTGTAATTTTAATACTCATATTTAGGTATATATTTCATTATTTACGTGTATGTATAATAATTAAGATTTATTTTTAGGACTTGCATTTTTCTCATATTTAAATCAAAATGGTAAATGAATGATCAAATATTACTCTTACAACACTTATAAAGTATTTCAGAATAACGATCAATGCACGTTTAACCTTGACTAGTATATACAAATGATTTGACAGATCATGACAAGGTTAGTCAAACATGAGCTGAGATTTCTTTACTTCTTGAATGAGTAAATTTTAACCTCTGAATTTGGCCAAACTACAGCCGTGACAAATGAAAATGTGGTGATTCGGTTCATGGCATCTGCACATGGGGTACATTGTTTTCATTGGCATCTTTTGCACCTAATATGCCGACCCTCAATTAATTGTTCGTTGGACCCAATAAATATGGCTATTAAAAATGTTTTTTAAGTGTTGGGTGTACAGATCAAGACAGGCTGGTCTTAAGAAATTATTTGAAAATTTAAAGAAAGTAAAAGATTTGGTTATTTACATTTATGGTCACCAAACTTCTAGTGAAATTTCAATTGGACAATTCTCAACTTTAATTTATCTAAATTAAATCACTAAATTTTAATTTATTTTCAATGATGGTAATTTACTTTAAGTAAAGTAACATCCATATTCTACGTGTACTTCAAAAATTGAAAAAAAAAAATAAAAAAAAAAATCTAGCATGTCTTACATTTTAAGGTAAATATGCAACCTAATCAAGTCTTGACTGAAATATCAAAATAATTTAAAGTTGAGTGTTCCTGTTGAGATTTTACTGAAAGTTCAATGACCAAAAATGAAACTAGGCGTAAAGGATTCCACACTTCAACCAGCTGAGCCACGGGAAGCGGACATGCAATATAATATCTCAATATTATAAATTTAAACAATCATTGATATTTTTTAGCAATTTTTTTTATTCGCTCAGGTAATTGTAAATTGAATAACTTGTCGAAATAAGGTTACAAATATTATGTTCTCGTGCAATGCACAAACTTTATGCTTGCTATTAGGCTCCAGCCGATATATTTTAATTTAATTCGTTAGAGACAGACGATATATTTTAATTTAATACATTAGAGGTAGTATAATAAGTGCTCATTTGGCTATGTTTTTAAATGCGTCTACATAATAGGTTTAAAAAAATATGCGGTAAAATAATAATTAAAATTTGTAGGTCTTACTAATTATGAATAAAAATACAAGTAATTATAAACTATGTTAAACATACACTCGAATAGATTAAAGAATGGAACAATTCATAAATACACTTCAAAAGTTTATGTTGACCTTGAAATCAGGTGAGACATGTGACCAATATATTTCAACTTCACTCTTGTCCACGTGTAAGATTCTTGCACACTTGGACAGAGTGTTAAATGCACGTGGCCTCTTTTCTGACAATGGATGAGGTGATCACGGTCATTCGACGCACAAGTCAATCAACGATGGAAGATATTATGGGTGTGGCAGAGACAATGAACGTGAGTAAAATATGATCTAAGTTGAAGAAAAATACCAAGCAATATAGTGTAGATGTGTATAGTTACATTACCTTTAGAAGACACCATGACTTTATATAGTGGAAGGAAAGAGGTGATGTTTATTGGATCAATGGCATGTAGCCTCATCCTAATGGCTCACGGACCAACTAGGTATGCGTCAATCCCAGCTGTCCTAGATCTGTGGGACCTTAAATGAATAGAAAAGTGGTCGTCCTACATCCTAGGCTTGTCACCTAAAA